CAAAAATGCATCATGACTTTTCCAACAACCCAATAGAAATATAATACTCAATAAGAAGGGACAAGTGCCTCGAGACAATGGAACAGGGTGTTTATAGAAGAAGGTAGACGGGAAAGATTACATCCAGACTGGAAGGAGGAGAGTTTTACTAAGGGCGGGCTGTGTGGAATATATAACCTTTGTACTGGCCTAAGAAGAGAACAAGTTTAAATCTATGAGGGGAGTTTACAAAGGAAAATCCAAGTGATAAATGGATGTGAACATAGTACTGCAGTGAGAAAGTTTGAAGCATTTACTATGATAGTAACAGCTAAACGCATTAAACACAGGGACACAGTTAAAAGGAATGGAGGAGCTTATCTGGTGGCTCCACATCCCATATGCCAGGAGAAGAAGCTGGAATGTATTCCTTAAAATAGGTTTTGAACATCTGGTTAACATTTTTGGAGGAGTTTTGATATAGAGAAATTAATCTGGCTGTGGTTTATAGAATGCATTTTGTAAGTGGCAGACTCCAACAGCAAGAGGATTCCATTAACACATGGTTACAAGTAAGAGGACTAAAATCGGATAGTGACCCTGATAACAGAGAAAAGAGGAAGAGTCAAAAGTACTTTGGGAAAAAAAGTGGACGTATTTGGGAAATGATTGAGTGAGGCACAAAAAAGAAAGGAGCTGAAACCATTTCCATCATTTTATGTTAAGGCTCTGGAAGAATATAGAGGACATTGAAAGAGAAGCAGATATAGAAGGGGTAGCACGTGCTCAGTTCTCTGTTAAACACACTGGGCAGAGCCAGAAGGATTGTTTTTTTTAAACATGTAGTGAATAATTTTAAAAAGCACAACCAATGCAGAGGGAAGAAGTGAGAAAAGAAACACAGATTAGGAGTCAGCCTTACAGAGATGATTGACATTTAAAGGCATGTGGCGAATGAGCTTACTCATATACAGGTAGAAAGTATACAATGAGAAAAATTGTTACTGAGAAACCCTTGGGAGAACTACTTTTGGGGATAAAAGAAGATAATTATTAAGTGCATAGCTCTATAAAACAATGTTATGATTCCATATTGTACTCATGTCACAAGTGTGAAACGCGGAACTTGACTAAGATCTGACAGACAGCAAGGGAAAGGGAGAAGGAAGGGCATCGCTAAGTAAGAATCATATGATTAATTAGCAGAAGGAAAAACCTCTCTAGCACAATACAATGTGAGTCAGAGGTGGAAAGAATTCAAGCGGGGAGGCTGATGAATTGTGTTAAAGGCTTTCAGAGGAAGAAGTTCAGGAAAGGCTATTGAAGTTCAGAATCAATGGGCCCCTTTCAGAAAGAAGTTATTGTAGAGGTGGGAGCAGGACCCAGATTCTAGTTAGAAAGTCAAGAGGAGTTGAGGGAGTGCCAGGCAGTATCCTTTCAATAAGCTTACCAGGGAAGGGAATAGAAAATATACATCCCTAGTTTGAATGAGTAGTAGGATTGCATACAGGTATATTTTGATTTAGGATAGAACTTAATTGAGCAGTTTTGTAAGCTTAAGGGAACCATTTAGAAATCAAAGGCATAAAACATAAATGTAATAGTCAGTGAACACGTGGCTGAAAGAGTAGTCCGAAAAGAACCAGCTGAGAGAGCAAGAGCAAATGCTAGCACACAGTGAGAGGAAAGTAGATATTCTTTTCTCTAAGACAAGAGGAAGGAAGAAGCCATGAGAATATATCTATCTGTCTGTCTATCTATCTATCTATCTATCTATCTATCTATCTATCTATCTATTTACACATACATATTTGTATAGATATCTAGATATCTGATATATATCTATAAATCTCTGTATCTATATCTATATTTATATCTATGTCTACTTAGTCTAGATGGAGGTCTAGGTCTAGGTATAGATATAGATGATAGATATAGCTATAGGTATAGATATAGATATATACAGAGAGAAAGAGTTTAGATTTCATAATTAAGGGAGTTTAGATTTTATGCATTGGCTTAGTCTCTAGTCTTGAGAAGAGTCCAAAACTTTTGGGAAAAGAGTCAGTTAAAATGAGACAGGTGAGCAAATAAACATAGGTAAGAGGATTGTTAGTAGTTTTTGGACTAAGCAGAGAGTCAATAGCATGGACTTCCAGTGTGATCAATTGACCTCATCTTACTAATTTTTCAATGATTCTCTGCATGTTAAGAGCAGAAATGGATAAAGTGAAGGTAAGTTTACCCAGGCCCTGGTATTCACAAAAAGAAAATTGTGCATTAAAATAAGGACAGAGAGGCTAGGGTGCTGGGTTGGTTTTTCCCTCACATGGCACAATCTTACAGAGCCTGGAGGTGGGAGAAGGAAAGCAAACAATTCCCGAAGGGGGTTGTTATGTGAGACTATGGAATAGCTAAGGAACCAAAATCACCAATGAAGGATAGAAATGACTTCCATTGGATTGAAATAGGGCGGTTTGTAGAATAGTTATGTTCAGAAAGGCAAATGTCAGAGGGTAACATCTTGGATATGAAATAGTTCCAAGTGATTTTGAAATCCAAAATAAGGCTGTGTTTATGGGGAGCTCAAATTAACTTAAGGACACTCCAGACTTGTTTGAATGATTAACATCACCAACAATGTCAACAAATATATATCATCTAACCTCATTAATTATTTATTATGTACCAGGCACTGTGCTAAGTGCTTTTTTCCTATTAACTCAATTCATTTTCCCCTACCTACTGTGCCATAGGTAACATTCACAGCCATTGAGCTGATTATTTTTTTCCCCAAAACTTGATTGAATTGGTTGGTTTGACATCATGTAAAGACAAGCTCAGAAAGCAAATAATCTCAGCTAATTCGCTATAATCAAAGTTTTTAATTTTCTAGGCACCCTGAACACTTATGGTCCACGCAGTCATATGTGAATAGTTCATTGGGGATATTACAGATCAGCTGACTTAGAACAGAGCGTTTTGCATAGCACTGGCTTTGGCTGTTAATATCATTTAAGGCACAGACCCTAGGCTATTTGAGGGAATTAAGTGACACTGTGATGACAAGAAACTCTCCCTAGGAGCATCTGTCTTCAGATATATAGTTTTTTGTTTGTTTGGTTTTTTTTGGTGAGTTATAATTTTCCTTGTTGTTGTTACTTTCCAAGCATAAGTGAAATCTATTTGAGTCATTCTTATGGTTAAATATATAATTTATTATAGCCATTTATTATACATTTCTTCCATATTTATAAGAATTATGACCAACAGAAGAAAATCAATATGTGTATTTAACGTTAATGCATTAGGACTTTATTAGTAAATAGATAAGTGGGTAGGCACTCTGAACTGATCATTAAAAATGCATCACTTAACATTCTTAAGCACTTGGTTTTGCATTACGAGAGAATAATTGCAGCAATTTTTGTTCCTCGTCTCATTAAATAGACTGTCCAGCACTGTAATCCCTTATAGAGTTATTGACATAGAGTTCCAAAACCCCAGTCAGGTGAGGGTCGTGGCTACCATAATTACTATCTGTTTAGCTTTGTTAGTGTTTCTCATTATTACTCAGAAGGTCAATGATACTCTTCACGATAGGAACCCAGGAAGACTAGAAGTAATAAAACAGCTCTGAGACTAAGTGAGTTTGAGCTATTCCAACTGATGGACAGTTAATTACCTGAGTTGAAAACAGTGAGAGCACTGGGAGAAATAGGGAACTTTGCAATAGCTATCCAAGGTCAATATTATTTGGTAAGTTTTTTGTTTTTTTTTTTCTTCAGTGAACTACACTGTTCAATTAGAGGACATGAGCATATCCTGTGGCAGAAGAGGCTATAATTTCAAGAAAAGCAAAACATTTGGTGTTTTAGCAATCTCAGACTACTTGGATGAGAATTCCAAATCTCAGTTACTAGATCAGTGTTTCTCATCTTGAGCATCACATTAGAGTCACCTGGGAACTTGGTACAATACCAAAGGTCTAGCCCCACCCCGGGTCAGTTAAACCTGAATCTGTGTAGAGTTGCACCCAAGCATGGAAATGAATTTTTAAAAGGTGTCTTAGGTGATGCTAATGTGCAACAATGGCTGAAAACCACTATGCTCCAGTTACTATTCAGAAAATATCATTGCCAATGTAGACCCAGTTGTGAACAATTAGAATTTTCTTTTTTTTGTTTCAATTCTTACTGCTTATATAGAAAGACTTGTGTAGTTCACACATCAACCATTGACTTTAATAATCTTTTAAAATAAATTAATAATTAATGTGTCCTTTAAAAACTTAACATCTGACTTCTTAGTTCCTATAGAGAAATTTACTTCTTGGAAAAAAAATTATACAATCTGTGCCAAATTTTCTTTAAACCTCTGAATAGCATATGGGATTTCTGTTTATCCATAGGGTTATATGATTAGTTCTATCAATTTAATTATGTAAAGGGAAGAATAAACAATTAGATGTACAGTTTTTATGTTTAAAAATACTTTTGTAATTCTCTTTAGATAGTTATTGCCTATAAATATTTTGTAGTATTTGATATTTTTTTCATATTTAAGTATGGTATGGATTTTTTCATAGAGAAACCATTTCCACAGATTTCTAGAGTTCACAGTAAAATGATTTCTAATTAGGTGATGAACGATCACAACTGGTAGTCTCATGACCAGTTACTCTCTTAAAGGGTAGTGCTGAGAGCATTAGCTTCTCTTCACACTACCTTTCAGAAGGAATGTAGATGCCCACATCTTAAGTACCCAGTGTTCCTTCCATGTAACTATTTGATCACCTATAGGAAAAACATAGTAAAATTTAGTTTTACAGAAAATGTGAAATAAAATGATATTTATTAAGTTTAAAATCTCTTACGCCTTGGCTTTATGTTTCCAGTTTGAGATTTTCGAGTACTATTTTTTTTAATTTAAAATGTCTCAAAAATATTTGCTACAGTCTCATTAAACTCCACACATTGTTTTCAAAAGATATTCTTTTCTTTTTGTTTTTTTTCAACTAGGACCCCTACTATGGCTGGTGGCCTATTTTCTATTGACAGAAACTACTTTGAAGAGATAGGAACTTACGATGCAGGAATGGATATCTGGGGTGGAGAGAATCTTGAAATGTCTTTTAGGGTAATTGCATTTTACTTTATTTTTTGACTCGGAGCATATTATGCTGTAGCATGCACATAGAAACCCAGTAATTTACTGTCAAATTTTTTTTGTGAAGTGATGCAAATTATTGATCAGTCGGTCATTTTAATACTTATTTAGAAGCTTTGCTAGAGACTTTTGCATGCAATATTTACTGTTAAATGGGAAATTATAGGTATTTTTAAAGTTTTCAAAAATAATTGTTTTATTCATAGTACAAAGACATTAGGGATTTCAGACTTTGAGAAAAAGAAGAGCTTTATTTTTTCTAGAAAGTATTACCCTATAAAATCAGTTTGTGTTTTTGAACTGAAATTTGGAAGTGTTTATGTTATCTTAATTTGCAAATGCTGCCAGAGGTTATCCTCAAATAACTCTAAGAATAACCTGTGGTTAAAGAAATTCTTGGTAATTTTAAGTGACTTGACTATTTTGCAATCATAGACCTTATTGTTTGATGGATCAGTTTAAATAATCCAAATTTACTTATAAAATGACCTTCCAAGTAAATGAAAATTTAGGATTAATTTTTCATATATGTGATATTAGGAAGCATATGAGTAATTTTATTATTTTGTTATATTCAGAAATTTAAAATACAGACACATAAATATGCCTTCATACTGACAAATAAATGCTAAGATACTTTTTTTTTTCTTCAAACCAAATAATGTCATTTTAAATGAAATAGTTTAATAAAACTGTTTTTTTCTTGCTGTAACTTGTCATGAGATAGTCAAAACATTCTATTGTTTTGCCAAAATTGTTTGTGCAATGAAATTATTAGAGTTTTAATATATTTATCTATGAAGTTCAAGATTTATGCCTTATAATTTCTCATTTGGAAAGTAAAGTTTGCTTTTCACTTAAAAAATATAAATATATTGATATTGTTCTATAAGAAAATGTTCAAAATTGAGGAAAAGAATTACTTTGAATTTATATAATGTAGAACTGAATGCATCTTGCAGAATCTGAATTATTTTAGAAACACTAGAATGGCCTTGTTATACAATTTTTGCCTATAAAACTTTCTTATAGCTAGATGTCTGAGAACATCATAGTTAATGGAATTTTATTCTTCCCATATTTCCTTATATACTTATAGTCTGGTGGTACTTGCCCCACAAGACTTTGTACCATACTCAGGAATATCTTCTTGCTATCATACACATGCTACATCTTTGCACAACTTTTGGAGACATTTGGGGACTCAACCTTTTTACTTGGTGTAGTTCTGAAAGTGCAGGAATAAGAGATGACAGTTTTAAAAGAAGAAGAAGAAAGGAAGAAAGAAGAAAGGAAAGAAGGAAAGGAGGAAGGAAGGAAGGAAGGAAGTTTATTCCAAAGCTTGAAAACAGTTTGCTGTTACTCTTAGATGCAATGATGAGAGTATTTGCACATTCATTTAACCAATATTCCTTGGATGCTGCACTGAGATTACATAAGGAATGCCCCATTATTTTTTTTTGTTCTTTGCTAAGATTCTTATTCACCTCTTTTCTCTGCACCTGTTAAGTTTGATTTTCTGCCAATAGCCTCCCTTTGCATTCATTACATAGCTACCAGATTGGATGGATGTTCTTTATCCAACTGATTGAAAGAAGTGTTAAGGAGTAATGCTGTGGAAGAATATGACAAAATAGGACAATCTGATCAGGAATGTGGCAGAGGTGTAAATGTGTGGAAAAGGAAGATCTGAGGATACAAAATTTGAGAATTTGATGATATTTTCTTCAGATCCCAGGGGAAAAGAGTGAATGCAACGAGTGGTCGTAAGAGTGATGAGATCCCTAGAAAATGATTCAGGAGGTTTACTGGATTTGGCTGTTTGAGATTATTCAGAAATAAGTTCTTATAAGTGGCTGTTTTTCAAATGGTTTAAAGCATACTGTTTTTAGTTTCCATATGCTTTTAATAGAAACAAACTATTTTGCTTTCTATTAGACTCTCAACTCATGTTTTTACTTTCTATCGCATTAATATAAGTGTTTGCTTAAAAGTTAGTACCCTAGCCAAGGAAGATATGGAGTAAGAGAAAATGCTGAAACTTTATATTAGCAAAGGAATGAGATTTGTCCTTTAGATTAATTTCATGAAAAGATGTGTGACATAATGAAATGAGACTATGTTGAGGATTTATAATCAGAAGACCTGGGACTACTGTCCAACTTAGTCATTGTACAGCAAACACATATTGAACATGCAGTGCGTGCTTTACACTTCCCAGATGCTGAGGCCACAAAAATGGGTAAGGCAGGGTGCTTTTATGCTCAAAGAACCACATTCCTATGAGAGAGATACATAGGTATTATTGACAACAAAATGTGATTTTATAAAACAAAGTTAATTTATGTATGAGGTTTTCTTGTCTCTGTCATGTTAGGGTAGGCAAATCATTTAACTGCAGCTGTGTAAAGGTGATTGTAATCATAATGAAGTTATTTTTGCTTTGTAGCTCTGATTTATGCAGGTTTGAGGGTAAGTAAAAAACAAGGAAATAATAAGGGCTTGCAAAACGTTAGCATTCTGACTGGCCTTAAGGGAGTATAAGCCAATTGAAAGGAATGTCTTATAACTGATCTCTGATGCCTGGGGTATTGTAAGTACCGGCACACATTGAAAATTGAAAAATAACTATGGTGGTCCCAAGAGAGATACATCCAGTCTCTTTCACATAATACGTTTGAATACAGTTTCATAGGGTTGAAGAATACCTTGAAGTCTCAGGGTAAAAAAATCTTGACATAAAATAATAATTATTTCTAATATTTATAGAACTAGTAAGTGGAGTAGTGGAGAACTGAACCCCAGCATTGTGAGACCTGTGGCTATGCTACTAACTACTACACCAATATTCATTAAGGTTCATCCTCCATAACATGTCAGTCCTAACAGCTGAAGGGGTTATCAAGAGAGAGGAGAAGCTAACGCAACAGCGATCTTCCTCCACAGTTCTGAGATTTGGCTCATCTAATGATCTGATCTTCCTCTTATAGGCTAGCCTCTTTTGATAGATACTATATGTCCAGTAGCAGTGAGTATATGTAGCGATATACCCCAGTGCTCCTGAAAACTTAATCTCAGATATTGCTCTCTACTCCATTACACAACATTCATTGAAATAAGTCCTGAGAACATGGTCTAAACATAAATATTAATTTATTTAACCAATATTTATTGAAATTCTACTCAATAAGTATAGGGGATACAATAGTGAACAAAATAGACAAATCTTGTAGTCCTTATGGAACTTGTATTTTAGTGAAGGAGATAGATCATAAACAAGAAAAGTAAAATATATTAATATATTAGTTTATAGCTGTTAAAGAGAAAAATAAAGAGGGGAGAGGAATATGAAATGGTAGATCTCGTAGACTTGTAAGAGCTGAAATTTGGATGGAAAGAACTCATAAATGAATATCCATATAAAATAACTGATGATAAAATGAACCTAATATAATATGAATTTACTATTAAAAGTATTACCTACTTTTAATATCCCTAATATCAGCATAAGTACCACCAACAGCATCACCACCAAAAGTCTTTGCCTTTTATGAGCAATAGCACAGGAGCAGTATTTTCAAGACCATACAATATGTTGTTCATTGTAAAATGAAATAATCTGCCATTATTGATCCAGTTAGGTCATGAGAAAAAAGGTCCAAAGGCATCAAAGGATTCAGAAGAGTGTCCCACTTCCATGACAGGTAAACTAGCAGTTACAAGAATGGTCTAGGATGCAGGATGCCTGGGTTTAAGACCCAGCTCTGGCACTTATTATAATAGCTGTGTGACTTTAGGTAAGGTAGCATGCTTCCTAAGCTCTAGTTTGTTCATATCTACAATAAGAAAAACTGCAGCACATTCCCAATGTATTTTTTGGGGATGATTAAATGAGATTGTGTATGTAGTGTGTATATACTCAGACCCTACATAAAGCACATCAAAAATGGCAGCTGTTACTGAATTATGGGCCCTGACAAGATTAACTCCATCTCATTCTCTATCCTCCATACTGTGTCACCCACAGGGACCTATGCTGCAAAAATTTTCCACTGAACACAGATAGACTTAACTGCTGTTTGTGACTTCTGTAACTCACTTGGCTAAGTACAGCTCCCTTCCCATTTATAAGCAGACCCCTGAGCCCCACTCGGGGCCACGAGGTTTGGAGAGACATGAGTCCTCTGGCAGCCACCGGCTTCTGGAATAAAGACTCCTAATTTGGCCTATTGACTAAGGCATCTTCTGTTGGTCTCGTGGATTTCCAACATAACATTACTATTGTAGTGATTATAAGCTGTGCAACTTTGAGCAAGTCATAACACTCCTGAGCTTCAGTTAATAACTACCTTGCCCTTAATAAACTGACCTTGACTAAATAATCAAATAAGAGAATGTATATAAATATCTCTTTAAAGCCAGAATATGCAATATTTATATAAAGTACTACTGCTCTAATTGTTAGTCGAGATACGAATCTAAAACTCCCCTGCCCAGAAAAGAGATTAGATTTTAGAAAAGAAAAAAAAACAACAACAAAACAACAAAACACTGCCTCTTTTGACTGCTGTAATATCCTTTGAGACAACTGCTGATGTCCTAAAAACTTACAATGTAAAATGTTTACCTATACTCATATCAGTTTTAATAAAGCGATTTTTAAAAAAGTGTCATCTAGACTTGACGTAACAGATACTGTATTCACACACACACAAAATTAATTTTAAAAATGGACAAAATATGTGAAATAAGAGTTTCAAGACATTGGACAGCAGGACATCAATGACAGCAATCTTTGGTAAATGAGACACAAACAATGAGAGTCTACAATTGCCTCAGCTTACTGCCTTGAGAAAGTGCCTAGGTTTCAGCAAGAGAAGGGGAAATCTAGGCAGATCTCAGTGGACTCCATGAATTGAGAAGATGGAGATGAGTTCTGGGGAGATCAAGGCAGCTAGAGTTTGGTGAAC